ACGGTGGCCGCCTAACTTCTTATTCTATTACTGGGCCAAACATATAAAATTCATGACATACTGGCTAGCTGACATTGGGGAACCCCTTACATGGGTGCAATTGGAGCATGACGCATGTCAACCTTACTGCATAAGAGCTATACTGTTATCTCCCCTGCCCATTGATAAATCTCTATACAAAGGCAATGTGGTGACACACAATACCATATGTATTTTCAATCAGATTAAATCACACTTTAGTTTAAAGTCCTTGTCCTTAGGCATGCCCATTGCAGACAATCAGTTTTTTAAACCATATATTCTAGACAGTACATTTAGACTTTGGAGACAGATGGGACTCTGTATAATTGACATGAACGGTAAGATTGCGCCGCCCATGCGAAAATGTAACAGAGGGTGAGCTAACCTCGGACAAACAAACAAACAAACAACAAGATAGCTGTAATGGCGGAGGTAGTGAAGCTCACTGTATTACCTGAGGCATTTTTTACCTCATCAGTCAACATTAAGTTAAAGAAAACAGGCAAAAAAAGTTTAAAAAATACTATTAACTTAAAATAGTTACGGCAGTAGATGTTTTTATGCCGCAGAGCTAAACAGTGCAAGAATTTACAGTGAAATTCAGTATGTACTGAGTGTAAATTTTACATTAGACAAACCATTAAATGTTTTGTGCAAAATCGGTTTAGTGTTAACTTATCATAAGTAAACAAAGAGTAAACTTGTGCAACCAGAAGTTGCAACATACATCTACATATAACGCACGCTAAACAGCACAACTAGCTTTAAGCATTAACCTAACCTTTAAGCATACAATGTAATTATGACAGAAAATAGAAGATTTACTTGCAGTTTCCTTTGTACAGACGAACATGTGGTAGTTCCCTGTCAGTTCCCGTTTATCACTGTTGTATTCAGCTGCTCATGAGGTCAATCGCAAGCCTTTATCCATCTTATACATTTTTACAGATTTCGTTTAGGTTTTGGAAATGGAATAAACTGTATTCCACCATCTAAACACTAATGTGTGTCTGAACTGCATGTTTCCCACTGACAATGTTTAACCATTTTTTCCCAATGATTTTTCACAAAATCTCTATGACAGCAAAGCATCCGTAATGCACAATCCTGACAATGTTTTTGGAAGAAAAGGGGACGCAGCTCCTGCAGATGAGGTGCGTTTCACTTCGGGACAAATTGCGATCACTGATAGGTCAGTTGCTAATGAGCCTACTAGATTGAACTCTCAACATCTCTTGCCTTGATAAATGCTTTCCATTTCCACCTCAGTGAAAAATTCATCTCTCATATTTATGAGAGTTTAATTGAGCCAATGAATCCTGTGAACTCATATTTTATCAAATCTAAATGTGAAAAGGAATTGGGTATCATAATTACTGATGTTCAATGGGAAGAAGGCCTGGAGAATGTCCACAAATGCTCTTACAATACAAGACACGATTTGATTTAATTCAAAACTACATCGCCTACACTTCTCTAGAGAATGGTTACCCCATTTGTGAGAATTGCTTCCTTGATGAAGATACCTTAAGCCACAGTTTTGTTTTTTGTACCAAGGTTCAGAAATGTTTTTCATTAATTCAACCATTATTTAGACAGGTTACTAATTTAGGTTACAGGTTAATATTGGGCTGATATCTTTGAGCTAACGTCTCAAATACTTCATGTACAGTTCTTGGCATTTCCGATAATGTTACAATGTTAAACAGTGCAAAGTGGTGCTTTATATCTTACTGTATTATTATTCCAATTTTTTGCATATTTTTTGCTGCAGGCAAAAACAGCACCTTTTATATCGAAGAATTATTTTAATGGAATGGCCGATGCCCAATATTGAATTTTAACACCAATATCAGCCGAAATCATGCCGATAATATCGTGCATCCCTATTTTTATCTACATTTATCTTTAACTAGCCTTTTGCTCCATTTAGCTTAGGCTAGCCTTCTGTTTATGTAACTTAGGCTAGCCTTTTGCTAATGTTTTGCTCCTTTTTTGTTAGGCAATTTTTATCTTTGAAAACTAAGTTTCAGTTTCTTCAGCAAATTTCAGCAAAGTCATTCAGCTCTTCTCTTTGAATTCAGTTCAATCAGACAGAGCTGCAGTTTTTGAGACATAAAAAACACAACATTTTAGTAGCGCAGGCAAAAACCAGCCTGTGAAACTGTAGCGTGGAATGATTGACTGTATTATACATTAGCTGTGTCAAGGCCAAAGAAAACATGCTCTCTCTGAAATGGACAAACAAGCCAACAAAACAATCTTGACAGTGCATGTGCCTTGACAACCGAGGAAACGGTTCAACTAGAGCCTGTAGGCAAAAACTTGAACAGGAAGTGAAGCGGACTTTCACAGCAAGCTGCGTCACAGGGAGCAGTTACAAATTACTAATGTGCTGTTTACTTCAGTCGCTTGTTTTCTCACTATTCAAATAATCCGACATAACTGACACCTGGGAGCAATGAAGCAATCTGCTTGGGTCTCATTTGTCAGCACAAATCAATCAGTGGTGGTTACCCTAATGCAAACTATTACTGCCAGCGATCACACAGACAAGTGTTTCAGCTCCATCTCACTAATGTTTCAGCTCCATCTCACTAATCAACATCTCTATTTACAAATAGTAGAGTATGAAACATATATGTATGCGTTTTTAAATAGCATGTTAACTACAACTTTATTATTATTACATTTCATAAAATAAAAAAAGTAAAAGATTTTTAATTTTGATCACCCCTGCCAAAGGGTGAAAGCATAAACCACTGGAACAATTTTATTGAAACATGCAGAAAGTATGTCTAGGATGCTCGTCGACAACTGATTAACATTTGGATTCAGCCCCATTAAAGATGGGTGCCAGAGCCGACTGACCTTAAGAAAACACATGCATGACTATATAACTCAGTCAATTTTACAGATGCTGAGATAAAACTTGATGTGTTAAGAGCTGAGGGTCACCTCTATCAGATATTCTGAGTGCTTACAGATTGTAAATGGTAAATGGACTGTACTTATATAGCGCCTTTCTATCTTATCGAGATACTCAAAGCGCTTTACACTACAATCTGTGTCCTCATTTACCCGTTCATACAGCACTCTAGTAGATATCTACAAAAGCTAATTGAACAAATCATTCTAAAAGAGACTAATCGGTGCTTTACCACATTCAAACACCGATAGGACACACATCGGAGGCAACGAGGGGTTCAGCGTCTTGCCCAGGGACACTTCGACATGTGATTGCTGGTGGATTCGAACTCCCAACTCTTGCATTGGAGGACGACTGCTCTAACCACTCAAGTGGCTTGTTGGCTCTCATTGTGTGAGATCTTTGCTTCAAATTTTGCTGTGAAATGTTGGCGCCAATTCTGTCCGTCTTTGGACTCACTCAGCCCTGTTCAGGATGGCCTCCACAGTCAACTGACCTTAAAAAATACAAAAATGGCTATAATTCAATTTTTTTCAAAGAAATTGTGCTAAAATTTAGCACAATTGGAGCCGAGAGTCATTCACAACATATACGTTGAGCAAGCCATGTTGCAATATAAAGTTATTTTTAGGGTTTGACCAAAACAAATCATCCGTTTTGGTCAAACTTTAAAAATAACATTATATTGAACGATCAAATCAGCCTAAGATGATCTAAGTTTAAATCTGTCATGAAAGGCAGCAAGCAAATGCATTCTTTAAAGGAATGGGAGACCTGTAAATGTTACCGTTTTCCAAGCTTTATTAAAAAAAACCTGATTATTCACAGAAGGGGCTTTAAATTTAGTTTCTTCAGTAGTATATACGTTGTACTCAGCATATCAGATCTACACTTACTACTTACTCATAGAGGAAAGTTTGTCTCCTTCATAAGCAGTATATAAACCTGTATTTTCACTTAAGTGATGTCCTAATCTGTCTATTGGGGACACTGCATGTATCCTAACCTCTTGCTTATGGCTTAAACATATCAGAAATAAAACTGCAACCTGAACTGTCTCAACCACTGGTGCCAGTTCACAGCTGGCAATACTGTGTAAAGCCCTTGACCTTAGACTGAACTCCAAGGTAAACCTGCTCTGTTCTTGTTCCCAATGTCACAGCTAATCCCCCATCTTCACCTGAATCTTTGATAATAAGAGAAACACTGGACTTAAGGTTACATTTTCTAGCCCTTCCCCCAACTGTGACACATAAAATGGCTTCCTAAAAAAATAATGTCATCAGCCTCTTTGATAGACTAAAACATACTTTAGTGTACGAAAAAGTACTTTTTATAATGTGCATAAGTACTTTAATTAATGGCACTTGTAAAAGCTATGTTCTGAAATCAATGCTTGTATGGATCTCATGATTTTTTTGTTTGTTTGTTTGATTAACCACACTGTAATGAAGGGTTTGACTACTTGGCGATGAGAATTTACCCGTTTAAAACTCATCACGACTTTGTTTGTCCATAGTTGTACATACTGTACGTTTTAGATTACCAACATGTACACTATTTGCTACAACAAAACAAGAGCTCGGTACTCAGTGCTCATAACTTACTAGTACTAACCGGCACAAATGTGTTTTCAAGTTATGTCAGCCACTGTTTACAGCAGAAAACATCGATGTTAAACCTGCTAGCTAAATGTTACAGGGACAAAAACAAGCTCAACACTTGTCCGCTTTTCAGGACAAAAAGCAAATGCACGTACAACAGTGGCATCTGACACTGTCGTAATAAATTATACATTTCCTGTCACCAGAAGTACAAAAAAATGCCGCAAATGTTCAGCCTAACATTTAGCATGAGGCTAGCTCCCCATAGACAGGACTACCTGCATCTTTAACCGTAACGTTTCGGCTAGGAGGGGCTAGGCTAGCTAGCTTTGAAACCGTTTATTTTTGCGGAAATCTCTGTTAACGCTCACTTTAAATGTCACACAGCCACCAAGTCAAGTTATTCAACACGTAACATTTTTTTTCCCGGCATTGAGCATCCTCACCTCTTGTCTTCTTTTAGGCCCGAACCATTCTAGCTGTTGGAAAGCTCTTTTTTCTCTTTGTCTTTTTCCACTTCCAAATACACGCAAAAAAAAATGGACTCAGCGAAACGCTTTAACACTTAAAATACTAAAACTGAACTGAAGGTCTTCGTGTTTTCCTTGCGTGTCAACTGTACATCGTGCGGAAAACAAGGCAAAATCATCTTCTTTCTCGTTTAATTTTATTACTCTTAAATAGAAGTGGCAGATAGGTAAGACTGCTAGCTAAGTTAAGCAGCCAGCAGGTACAACAGACAGGACTGGATGCTGCATTCAATGGAACTCGGAAATCGTATATATATCGGAATTGTGTCAAAACCCAACGAGTGCCTGGAATGAAAACTTGACAAAAACAGCTTTCTTTCTTTTCTTTTTTTTTTTTTACTATAAACACCAAACTAGAAACAACAAACCCAATTTCATTTTTAATTAGGTTAAACAGTTGTGAACAAAAATCTACATGAGTCTCTTCACATTCAAGAATGCCACAGTGGTTTTGTCATGAGCTCTCCAGGCCTTATTCACATATTAATTTGATCACATTTATTTTCATTCTTAAATTTGTGCCCAACAAATTTTCAGACAATCTATAGTTTAAGATACCAGTGAAATTATCAATCCACCTCAACTTAATGGATAAAAAAAACAAAAACCTCTTGATCATCTTACGTTTAAATACTTTACTTGTAGCCACAAGTCACAGTAACACATCATTTATTCCTATTTCTATCATTTTGTTTTTAATCATGTAAGTAGATTGACAGGCATAAAACCTCTTGCAGCACCAGCGATGTGAGGCCCACACGGCTATCAGCTCAGACCTTGGCATATATTAGCACATCGTGCAGCAATTCTCTAAAAATATGAAAAACTCAGACAAGTGAAGGATAAAAAAGCTCCATTTGATGGTCTTTTAAAGAATGCTTTTAAAAATAGGTGTGCGTGATTGCCTTACTACAGTGTGAGGATAAAAAAGCACTAAAAATCTAATATCCTATGTTTGTGATGAAGAATAAATATGGTCATACCAACTAGTAACTTTCAAAAATCTTTACAAATATGCAATTATGGTTTTGTCTATTTAAAACGTTTCTAATTATACTTGTCCGTGTTTTATCAAATCACTGTACTTAAAAAAGTTTGAGTAAAATATGAATATATTACAAGTGATTCAAGTTTTTAATGATCAGTTATCAAAGTCAGAGGTGTAATAACTTTGAAAATGATGTAATTACTAATAAATAATGGCTAAAAATAATGATGAGTAATAAATCAATAATAAACAACCAATTAATAATATAAATCATAATTAGCCAAATATGTATATATTACAAGTGATTCAAGTTTTTATTCATCAGTTATCAAAGTCACACATGTAATAACTTTTTTTTTTTTAAAAGACAAAAATATAAAGTGAAAAAAGAGAAAATACAAACACGTTTTGTTGAAGTCAAGATCAACTCTTTACACGGAATGCTCATAATTCCTATTGCAATTGAATGCAGCGGTCCAGTGACGCAAAGGTTGTCGGTATTTGACGCACCACAGACACGTCTCATTGTTCCCTGCTGGTCGCTGATAGCTCGGCTAAGGAGACCGCTGCCTGAAGATTGTTACACAACTTTGTAAAATAAAATTAAAATTAAAAAAAGAAAGATAAACGAAAGTTTCAAACTCTGCCTTCTGTTTTCTTGTGCAATAAAAGGTACTCACTGCGAAATCATGAAGAGCAAACAAAAAAATGCAATTGTGGAGTCAGGAACAAAATTCTCACAATCATTTTCTCATATCGATTGCTATTGTGTCCTTAAAAGGAACATTTGTAAGCAAAAAACTGGATGTCATCAGGTGCTTGTTCACAGAAACAGCTGAAGCGACTGAAAATAGGCCAAACCTTTTACCAGCTTTATGTGTTTACCCACACAGATCATGGTCACTCTGACATAGGTCAGTCATGGAACTCCAACTTCCATGTAGTTTTCATCAGATTCAGCAGAGTGCTTTGTTTACATTGAGTGTGAGCCCACATTTTAGACTTGCATTCAAAACATCTGGAAAACTACTGCATCATATGATATGGATCATGATATGCTTGGATTTTGTCAATCAAACGTTGTGTACGACTTTAAGAGCTTTCGATTAGTATTATAAGCTGCAATGACCCAATAAGATTGATCACACAGCAGTTCTCTTCATATGCTGCTCAGGTAGAATAATAGGAGGCCAAAGCCAACCTCTTGAGTTCTTCACTAAATGGCTTCGCTGTGCACAGGATGCCTTTGCATGCACAGTACTCTACATTTGACCCCACCGCTGACCTGTGAATATTCAGCCCAGGCCGTGAGCTGCTGTGATGACAGTGACTGAGAGGTTAGATCTGATGCTGCAGGGTGTTAGAGGTTAAGAAGTGGAATGCCACAGTGCTGATCGCTGCTCGGGAACACGTTTTCTTGCTGGTCTGAGAAACCTACGGTACTTTGGGTCGTCAAGCCTCTAAGCAAAAGCTCCATTCTGCTTTAAAAACTTTACTGCATAAACACAGCATGAATACACCTTGCCAAAAGTATTCGCTCCCCTGCCTTGACTCACATATGAGCTTAAGTGACATCCCATTCCTAATCCAAAGGGTTCAATATGACGTTGCTTCACCCTTTGCAGCTAGAACAGCTTCAGCTCTTCTGGGGAGGCTGTCCACAAGGTTCAGGAGTGTGTTTATGGGGATTTTTGATCATTCTTCCAGAAGCACATTTGTGAGGTCCCTTACTGATGTTGGACGAGAAGGCCTGGCTCTCAGTCTCCGCTCTAATTCATCCCAAAGGTGTTCTATCGGGTTGAGGTCTCTATGCAGGCCGTTCACGTTCATCCACACCAGACTCTGTCATCCATGTCTTTATGGACCTTGCTTTGTGCACTGGTGCACAGTCATGCTGGAAGAGGAAAGGACCAGCTCCAAACTGTTCCCACAAAGGTGGGAGCATGGAACTGTCCAAAATGTCTTGTTACACTGAAGCAGTCAGAGTTCCTTTCACTGGAACTAAGGGGCCAAGCCCAGCTCCTGAAAAACAACCCCACACCTTAATCCCCCCTCCACCAAACTTTACACTTGGCACAATGCAGTCAGACAAGTACCATTCTCCTGGCAACCACCAAACCCAGACTCGTCCATCAGATTGCCAGATGGAGAAATGCGATTCGTCACTCCAGATAATGCGCCTCCACTGCTCTAGTCCAGTGGCGGCATGCTTTACACCACTGCATCCAACGCTTTGCATTGCACTTGGTGACGCATGGCTTGGACGCAGCTCCTCGATCATGGAAACCCATTCCATGAAGCTCTCTGCTCACTGTTCTTGAGCTAAACTGAAGGCTACATGAAGTTTGGAGGTCTGTAGTGATGGAGTTGGTGACCTCTTCGTACTATGCGCTTCAGCATCCGCTGACCCCGCTCCGTCAGTTTATGTGGCCTACCACTTCGTGGCTGTCATTCCCAAACACCTCCATATTCTTATAATCCAGCTGACTGTGGATTATTTAGGAGCGAGGAAATTTCACGACTGGATTTGTTGCATAGGTGGCATCCTATCAGATCCACGCTGGAATTCACCGAGCTCCAGAGAGCGACCCATTCTTTCACAAATGTTCGTAAAAACCCTCGGCATGCCTAGGTGCTTCATTTTATACACCTGTGGAAGAGACTGGAACACCTGATTCTGATAATTTGGATGGGTGAGCAAATACTTTTGGGAAGGTAGCGTATGTACCAATATTAAAAATTGTCCAATATCTTGATTCTAAATGGTTCATTCACAGACGTCCATTGGCCTGTTTTGTCACTTCTGCTGTTTTTGTTGGTAAACACATGCAGTAATTGGCAATCATTTACAAATTTCACATTTAACACATTAACCATCAATGAGGGGAAAAAAAAAAGCATATTTATTTTCTTACTTTATTATTCTTTTATAAACTGGTGTGCCTTTAAGTACAATGTTAAAGATGCAAGACTTCAGTGTTGCTTCTTTAAAGGTTACCTTTTACTCCATATGTTTGAGATTGCGCAACATTTTATAAAAGCTGTACAGATTACAACTAAAAATAGACTTAAGTACTAAAATTGCAAGATTTAAATTGAACAGTTGTATTTGTTTCTGCATATTTTTTTTTTTAAGTTTATTCATCTGAGACATACAAACTTGAGAAAATGTCATAATAGTAGAACAGAGAGAAGAAAGTTGGAAAACAGAACACAGCTGAGAACAGACTCCTGCTTTTCTGTTTTCGATGTCCAGCAGCGGTTCTATGAATTCACTTCCAACCAGCTGAGAGGGTGGAAACAAACAAACAAACAAACAAACAAATAGGAAAACAAACAAGTAGAAAACCCACTCGTCCCAGCATGCTCATTTCTGCTTTTTCCTCTTTCTTGGAGGTCCTTGATCTGAATCGCTGCTTCCCGAGTCTGAGCTGTCTGAGGACGAAGAGGAGGAGGATGAAGAAGACGAGGAAGAGCTGTCGTCGTCGCTGTCACTGCTGCTGTCGTCTGAAGACAAGCTGGAGTCGTCGCTGCTGTCTGATGATGAGTCACTGGAGGAGCCGTTTGAATCGCTGCTGCTGTTGTTTGAGTCTTTTGCCCTGAGAGCAAGCGGCAGAACAAAAACTGTGAGAACGGCTGCGGACAAAACTGAACAGAGCGGCGAGGTTGAAGGTCCGACTCTCAATATGTTCCCACGGCATGGACTAGGATCTTATTCTGGGCTCACCTCACAACGTGGATACAAAGAAACTACTCTGTTTAATACACTGCAGCAAAATAACAGTGTTTGCAGTGGCGATTGGCACATCATATTATTTTGCTTTTCAAACATTTAAGCAAAACATCTGGAGCTGGAACGGGTACAAAGCTGGCAACGTTTTATAAAATGTCAGCATTTATATTGTTCTGAGAAGGGTTGCCCTTTAGGTGTTCCTGTGAGATCAGCTGGCGTCATAAAGTGTCTCTGACCCGTTAGCAGCCTCTACATCTGTGCTCAGGAGTTCAAGTTCAAAAATACAATTATCAATGTTACTTTTACAATTAAATGCAACAAAAACAAACCTCTTGAAATAAACTATAATGTTTGGTAGCTTACATATAAACTATATTGCGCTTGAAAATGGGAAAAAATGAGTGGCCAGAATTTTTTTTTAATACTTTCTGAAGTTACAGCCAAGACGATAAATAATTTGAACATGTAAAAAAAACTGAGATAATTGAAGAGTCCGGTAAAACTTGTGTCTTTGTGAACGTTGCAGGAGTTTATATTGTTTAAAAATCACAATATTGCATATTCTGACTAAAGCCAATGCAAAAAAAAAAAAATAAAAAAAGGCAGTAAATCAATTTTACAGCGTTGGGTCAAACATGAAACATTTACCACTAATTCCTTTAGATCTCAGAAGGGGTGATGTTGCAGCTGTGGCCACGCGCCACTAGGTGGCACTGTTGAGTCATTGCCAGTAAACAAAATTCAGTTGCAAGTTTTCTAAATATTATTTATAGAGAATTATTTGGACTATCCACCTGATAAATAAAACAATGCAAGGCTTTTAAGTTTTCTTTGTTGTTATTAATAATCTTAATAAATAAATGTAATATTTGTGTTTAATAAAAAAAAAAAAAGTACATTACCACAGCATTTGAACATTTTCTTTTATATTTTATAAAATCAAAAACAGGCGACACAGTGGCACAGTTGGTAGAGCTGCTGCCTCTCAGCAAGCAGGTTGCCCTGGTTCAAATCCTGGTCCGGGGGCCTTTCTGGGTGGAGTGTGCATGTTCTCCGTGCATGTATGGGTTTTTTCTGGGTACTCATGTTTCCTCCCACAGACCAAAAACATGCATGTTAGACTGATTGGTAACTCTAAATTGTCCCTAGGTGTGAGTGAGAGAGTGAATGGTTGTTTGTCTTATTTGTCTCTGTGTCCCTGTGATGGACTGGAGACCTGTCCAGGGTGTTCCCCGCCTCTCGCACTGTGACTGCTGGATATGAGCACCAGTGACCCCCGGGACCCAAAAAGGAAGAAGCAGGAAAAGATAATGGATGAATGGAAAATAAAAAAACATCTCTGTATGTCAATGTCAATTTATTTCTATAGCCCAGAAAACATCAAAAGCTGACCACAGTTCTTTACAATCAAGTAAAATTAAAGAGAAAAAACATAAAAGCAACCAAATAAATTTATTACCGTTTATGTATTTTGGATAAAGCTGGTGTGAATTCTATTTGTAGATATATAGATATAGATTGTAGATGGTGAGGAAAATAAGTATTTGAACACCCTGCGACTTTGCAAGTTCTCCCACTTAGAAATCATGGAGGGGTCTGAAATTTTCATCTTAGGTGCATGTCCACTGTGAGAGACATCATCTAAAAAAAAAAAATAAAAAAAAAATCGGAAATCACAATGTATGATTTTTAAAATAATCTGTTTGTGTGCTACTGCTGCAAATAAGTATTTGAACACCTGCCAATCAGCAACAATTCTGGTCCTCAAAGACCTGTTAGTCTGCCTCTAAAATGTCCACCTCCACTCCACTTATTATTCTAAATTAGAAGCACCTGTTTGAGGTCAGTAGCTGCATAAAGACACCTGTCCACCCCACACAATCAGTAAGACTCCAACTACTAACATGACTAAGACCAAAGAGCTGTCCAAAGACACCAGAGACAAAACTGTAGACCTCCACAAGGCTGGAAAGGCTTACGGGGCAATTGCCAAACAGCTTGGTGAAAAAATATCAATTGTTGGAGCAATTATTAGAAAATGGAAGAAGCTAAACATGACTGTCAATCTCCATCGGACAGGGGCTCCATGCAAGATCTCACCTCGTGGCGTATCAATGATCCTAAGAAAGGTAAGGAATCAGCCCAGAACTAAACGGGAGGAGCTGCTCAATGACCTGAAGAGAGCTGGCACCACTGGTTCCAAGGTTACTGTGGGTAATACACTAAGACGTCATAGTTTAAAATCATACGTGGCACGGAAGGTTCCCCTGCTTAAATCCGCACACGTCCAGGCCCGTCTTAAGTTTGCCCATGACCATTTGGAAGATCCAGAGTCATGGGAGAAAGTTCTGTGGTCAGATGAGACCAAAATGGAACTTTTTGGTTTTAATTCCACTTGCCGTGTTTGGAGGACGAAGAACGAAGAGCACCATCCCAAAAACACCATCCCTACTGTGAAGCATGGGGGTGGAAGCATCATGCTTTGAGGGTGTTTTTCTGCACATGGGACAGGACGACTGCACTGTTTTAAGGAGAGGATGACCGGGGCCATGGATTGAGAGATTTTGGGGAACAACCTCCTTGCCTCAGTTAGAACATTGAAGATGGGTCATGGCTGGGTCTTCCAACATGACAATGAACCGAAGCACACAGCCAGGATAACCAAGGAGTGGCTCCGTAAGAAGCATATCAAGGTTCTGGAGTGGCCTAGCCAGTCTCCAGACCTGAACCCTATAGAAAATCTTTGGATGGAGCTCAAACCTGCAGTGTTCCCTCAGTGAGGACTGAACTAGGCAAAAGGGACTTCTCCTACTCCGCTCCTGTTTCCTGGAATATCTTACAAAAACATTTGAAGCTCTCGACCTTGACCTCTCTAAGTGGCTTTAAGAATCTGTTGGACTCCTGGCGGGGTCCAATGCTGACATGTTCTGTTTTTAGTTTTCTACATTTGTCTTAGAATCTAGCTGTCTTTTGTTACTTTTCTTTTTTTAGCCATCCTATTTGTAAAAAAATAAATAAATAAATAAATAAAAAATTATGACTTTTTATAACTGTTTATTGTTGTCGCTGTTGTCCATTGTTGTCATCATTCTTTGTTGGAATCAGGTCTCTCTTGTAAATGAGTCCTTGAGGCTCAATGGGATGTACCTGTCTAAATAAAGGTTGAATGAAAAAACTCCGTGTTTCTCAGCAACAGCCCAGAAACCTGGCTGATCTAGAGAAGATCTGTGTGGAGGAATGGGCCAAAATCTCTGCTGCAGTGTGTGCACACCTGGTGAAAAACTACAGGAAACCTTTGACCTCTGTAACTGCAAACAAAGGCTTCTGTTCCAAATATTAACACTGATTTTCACAGGTGTTCAAAAACTTATTTGCAGCAGTAACACACAAATAAATTATTTAAAAAATCATACATTGTGATTTCTGGATTTATTTTAATTAGATTGTGTCTCTCACAGTGGACATGCACATAAGATGAAAATTTCAGACCCCTCCATGATTTCTAGTGGGAGAACTTGCAAAGTCGCAGGGTGTTCAAATACTTATTTTCCTCACTGTATATCTATAGAAGCTAAAAAAAAAAAACTAACGTGTTTTTGTTTGAGTCTCATAAAATACAATAGTTGTACTAGATATTAGACTCGCAGTACAACAAACAAACTCTTACGTATTATTTGCATTCGTCAGGGTCTGTAACTCTTAATTTATTTATAAAATCAATAATATTAAACCCATTAGCCAGCAGCAATAATGACGAGGCCACTCTCAGCGCTGTGAAATAACCAGCAACTAATGTAATGAAATTATGTCAAAACAGCAGCTCACTTACTTGTTTTTTAACTTCTTTTCACTGGACTCTTCTTTAGGTCTGTGGAGAATAATAAAATTAAGTTTAAATAAATAAACAAATATTAAAAGAAGGCCCTGTGATGGACTTGCGACCCATCCAGGGTGTACCCCGCCTCTCGCACAGTGATTGCTGGACATGGGCACCAGCGACCCCCGTGGGGGCAGCACGGTGGCGCAACTGGTAGAGCTGCTGCCTCTCAGCAAGGAGGTCCTTGGTTCAAATCCTGGTCCCGGGGCCTTTCTGGGTGGAGTTTGCATGTTCTCTCCGTGCATGTGTGGGTTTTCTCCGGGTACTCCGGTTTCCTCCCAACCAAAAACATGCATGTTAGGCTGATTGGTAGCTCTAAATTGTCCCTAGGTGTGAATGGTTGTTTGTCTCGTTTGTGTATATGTGGCCCTGTGATGGACTTGCGACCCGTCCAGGGTGTACCCCGCCCCTCGCACAGTGATTGCTGGACATGGGCACCAGCGACCCCCGTGACCCAAAATGGAATAAGCGGGTAAAAGATAATGGATGGATATTAAAAGAAAAGAGATCAGTTTTGTGTAGACTTTGTGATAAAATAAAAAACAGCCAAAAAACATTTCTAATTGAGAGTTTATGCTATTTTTTTATGTTAAATGTTTTATTTTCTTAACAACTTTATATCCAGCACTTTGGACAATGACAACTATTTTCAAATGTGCTTTTTGAACCAACTTTACTTTCAAATTCTGGGAAATCATAAGCAATAATAGAAAATATAAAACCTATCTCACTATGAAAATTGTTTAAACTTTAAACTGTATTGTAATGAATATTTATCAGTAGCCTGTCATTTGCAAGTCAGATTGTTTTGTTTTTGTATAAATAATCCTAAATTGATGACCATTTATGTCATATTTCAAAAGACATTACAGGCTGCCACTAGAAATGAAACCATAGCGACAACTTACCCCGTGATGCTGAGAGGTTTGCTTTCTATCTCCTTCAGCTTCTTTTTCATCTCAACTGTTCTCGATGGTCTGTGCAAATATTTTCGTTTCCCCGTGCACTCATAGGTCCAGTGTCCCATTTCCAAGCACTTCTGGCAACGCACATCTTGTTTGTTTGCCTCCCTGCATGTAGAGAATTAAATAAATCATCTTAATATAATGAACCATTACATGCACTAGAAATGTTACAGCCTTTTTTGCACACATCCTAAGTTGGTGGTAACATTTTAAGTATGTTTTTATTTCTACACAGGAAGTAGCTTGTATTGTTACATTTTAAATGTATTTACTTATTCTTGTGAGCTTACTGCGGTTATGCTCTCTGCTCTATAAAACTAACTAATATAATTAAAAACAAATGCTGATATCCACAATTGGAGGATTCCTTTTCTTTATATTCAAATAAAAACTCAAGGCTATTCTGTTTGAGGGAGAATGTTTATATAACTGTAAAAGTCCTGGAAGCATTAAATAAAGAAAGAATATACGGCAAGGAAAAGAACCTACTGTGCTCTTACTTTGAAAGAAGTTGTGAGCTTTTATTTTTACCCAACATCATCACTGAAATACTTTGTATCGAGTTTAGATCAATTTTTCTTGTTTCTAGTGTATACCATACCATTTTATTTATGGAGCACTTAAAACAGCGACAAAGCCAACCAAAGTGCTGTACAGACAGAACAACAGACAACACACAAAGCAAAATACAAAATGAAGTAAATCAGAATATAGACATAAAAACGATGCAGATAATGACGACTAGCCAGTGTGGAGCATACAGGTTCAAAACACAGATCATCTGGTGTTGAAAGCTACTGAATAGTAGTGGGTTTTTAAACGGGATTTGAAAACCGAGAGGGAGGGGGCCAGTCTGACAAGCAGAGGTAACTCGTTCCAAAGTCTTGGCCCTGCTACGGAGAAGGCCCTGTCACCTCTGCGCTTAATTAAGACGAGTTCCTGGAACTGTGAGGAGCAACTGGTCCGCTGACCTCAGGGAACGTGGTGGGACATACGGTTGTAGCAGATCAGAGAGATGGGGGGGCGAAACTGTTCAGCGGTTTGTAGACATACAGGAGTATTTTGAACTGGATTCGAAGGTGAACCGGTAGCCAGTGCAGTGAGGCCCAAACTGATGTAATGTGCTCTCCTTTGCCTGTACTGGTTAAAAATTGGGCTGCTGCATTCTGGACCAGTGTAGTTGTGCAATGGAGATCTGACTGATACCAAACAGGAGTGAATTGCAGTAATCAAGCCTAGATGTAATGAATGCATGTATTACTGACTCCAGGTTATTTTTGGACAATATGGGCTTCAGTTTAGACAGCCGCCTCAGTTGGTCCATGACTGTTAAGTTTCAGGGAAGGGTCCATTATCACTCCCAGTTTAGTGATTCTTTGTTTTTCTGACAGGGATAGAGTGGAGAGGACGATGCAGTGGTTTGTGATTGTGTCGTTGGGAGGGAACAACATGACTTCAGACTTCTTTTCATTGAAACTTAAGAAGTTTAAAGCCACCCAGTCCCTGATGTCAGCCAGGCAGTCGAGCAGAGGTTGAATAGAGCATGTACCATTGTGTCTTAGGGGGAAGTAAATTTGACAGCCATCGGCGTAAAAGTGAAAGGGTATGTTGTGTTTCTGGAAAATAGCACCAAGTGGCAGCAGGTATAAAGAGAATAGGAGGGGACTCAGGATGGACCCATGCGGAACCCCCCATTTAAGCTCTGTCACTGCAGAACTAAAATCCTTGATGGAGACACAAAAGGATCCGTCAGCGTGGTAGGATCTGAACCAATTGAGGGCTGACCCTGTGATGTCCACCCACTGCTCCAACCTAGCAATGAGGATCCTGCCATGGCCATGCTGGCCACAATGAACTACAGCCAGCCATATCTAGTTTTTTCTTTACGCTTTTTACAGTTTACAACATCAAAATCAAAGTATTTGGAGTTTTTTGTTTAGATTTTTACAAAATTGATGTTAGACTTTTGGTCAGTTGCTGCATTAGCACCCTTCGAAGTCTTCATAAAGTTTCTTGCCGTGTTTAAAAAGGTAATGATAATGGAATTACTGGCATTTATTAAAGCTGTTAAATGTTAAGTTTTGCTCCGTTTTGTTGCTCTAGATTCTTTGTATGACGTCAATTCAACTTGGGTTGTTTAAATATGCTTCTTATAAAAAATGATGTTGGCCTAAACTGAAAGTGTAAAAGAAAACTTCCCAAACTAAAAATTAAAATGAAAAAAGCTTACTAAAAGCTTAAGCACAGACAGCTAATGGCACGTAATATAATATGTGCGATGTTGTAGAGAAAACATATTAACCTGCTGTATGTGAGCTGAAACTCGACGACTAAAAGGCTGACGGTGTTGATAAAAACACTTTTACCACAGAAACACGAAAATTACGATGTTACATTCAAATATTAATATTATACTTACGCTTGTCTTCTCGCTATTATTCTGTGCATGGGAGTCGCCATCTTGGAAATTACTTCTTCTTCGTTGGTGCCAGAATAAGGAACATTTCCGGAAGGATGTGAGCGCCTCCTATGAAAAAGGAATGGAATAAAACAATGAATGAATGAATGAATGAATGGACCATGTTGGTGAATCAGTGGTGTTAGGATGAATTCAGTAAGTTTTCCTAATGTACAATAATACTCAATTTTTACAACGGATCAACTCAAAATCATTTCCTAAACTTTTTGCAAAGCATCATTCACATTACAAAACTACTATTATTAAAGGACGTTGTGTGTTTTGAAAATTGAATTCCTTTTAAACATCCCTCTTTCATTTTGTCATTTTATTAAACTAAATCATGATTGTTACATTGTTATTGACGTTTAACTTTTATCTGTGTCACAATAAGTGCCTATTCCCACTCAACTATAACAACACACCCATTTGAATTATGTCAAAGCTACATATCATAAAATATCTTCTTCTATTTTTGGTTTAAGCAAATGTTTGGTGTGGACATACAGAAATAAAACAGTATTATTTCAGAAAGTAAGACATAATTTTCAGTATTGCTCATCTGCTTACCAAAATCCCATGATTTTGTTTTTGCACCAAAGTTCATGCTCATTTATCCAGGCATAAATCCAGCAATGTTCAGTCAGGCCATCTGGACGGTTTCTTTTGTTGCTGGGACATTTCGTCCTTCATCCGAAGGACTTCTTCAGTCTGGGAGCCACCACCAAACCAAACTGAATCCCACAAACAGGACACTCCCAGAGTGAAAAAAAAACAACAACCCAGTTTGCTGGTGATAAGATGGCCTTGATGATGGGAGTGTGCGGTTTGTGGGATTCAGTTTGGTTTGGTGGCTCATCAGACTGAAGAAGTCCCTCGGATGAAGGATGCAACGTCTCAGCACCAAAAGAAACTATCCAGATCCAGATGACCTGACTGAACACTGTTGGATTTTGTTTTTGGTTTCAATTACACTTTTTTTATTTGATTATTTATTTATTTTGATCATCATCATTAGTTCACTGTTTTGAGAAATTCCGTAAAAGTCAGTCGAAATCTCGGCATGTATCTGCCCATATCTCTAATGTTGGAGAACTTCACATGGTTGTAGAAAAGTCCAGAGAAATCTAGATCCACGCAACTCTCGCGATAACTACCGGCAAGAGCGCGAGAGTTCAGTAAGATCTCCTTGCTGCGCCGAAGCCTGTCAGCGGAGATCACAGACACCGGTAACAGTCAGTGGTGGGGATTATGACAAGCAGTAGCTTTACTTAACATAACGCAACCCAACTTAAACTTACTTTTATGCTCTTAACTGTAGTATATTTGCTTTATTAAAAAAAAAAGTCGCTCTTTGAACAACCTGAAATCTAGAAGACAGAGAAAATGTCAGTGGTAGGTTTTGACTTGGGCTTTCAAAGCTGCTATGTAGCTGTTGCCCGAGCTGGAGGAATCGAGACAATCGCCAACGAGTACAGCGACAGGTGTACACCGTGAGTATCTAAAATGTTGGTTTTATTAATCCGGGTTCGGGCATCGACAGTCATCTTGGTTTCTGTTGTCTCACCGTTGTCACGGTAATGCACGTGAGTACAACCTTTACTTTAAATTGTATATCGATATATGTGTTTTTTTGGGCTTATCAAAGTGTCTTTTATTGTGAAATGTACTCGTGAGCCGTTTTTGTGTGTGTTTTTCGAACAAAGAACCATCAGTTATTATTATTTTTTATTATTCCCAAATCTCGATCTGCCTCTTACTGTAGCGTACCATCAAGCTAGCGAGTTAGCTTTTTCTATTACGGCACTGACTGATTTGAAAGGTTTCCTTTAGTAGCCCGGTTAACACGAGGCGGGCGGTGTTTCCGTTGTTCAGTACATCTTTGTAGAAGACTTTAGCTCCGAGGACACGGTGTGCCCTGCAACACAAATTGCGCGTCTTCTAGTTTGACGAAAGCAATCGAGCTACGGGTGGAATATTCTAGCAAAATGTAAACCCTGGCTGTAGATGTAAAAAAAAAAAAAAAAGTTTAGCTTTTTAAATAGCTGGTTTGGTCATCAAGTTTATTTTAGTAATTCTGTTAAACATTCACCTTGACTTTTCTTTTTAAAGCGTTTAGTCATGGAGGGATATGCATAATACAACAGGTGCTACATTATGGAGATTACATACATTTTATTTATTAAAGAACACAAATATAAACGTTACAAAATTTTAACATTAAATTATCAAACATGTCACCCAAGAGAGTTCTACAATCGTGTTTTTTAAGGATGTGAACGTTTTTAGTCCTAATAAAACAAAAGAAACATGGTTGAAAATTTAGATTGGATGATAGTATTCTGCAAAGAGTGGGATAAATAAAGTAGACTGGTCTAGTTTTGCTTCTTGATGCTGTTTCTATAATAAATTTACATGGATAGTTATTGATTTGTCTTTTGTTTGGAAATAATTACAGATTATCAATGTGTCTTTTATTTAATCTAATCTAAAAAATAAATAAAAAAGCCTAAATTTAGTCTACTCAAATTTTTTATTAGTTGCTAAAAGACATTAAATAAAATAAGATTTTCTTAAAACAAACTGGTGCTGATGTGCCAGTAGACTTAAAATGACTTGGGGCTCTAAAGTGTTAGTGATTTCATGTTGTAACTTTTGGAAAATACTGTAAATTTGTTTAGATTTGGCTTGCAGTTACAAATTAAAAGCATGCTGATTTTAACGTAATATTTTTCATTTATTTGTTTTTTCCAGGTCATTTGTATCTTTTGGACCACGGAATCGATCCATTGGAGCCGCTGCAAAGAGCCAGGTACAAGTCAATTGAGCAAACTTGTCGCCTTCATGTTCCTTTTAAATTTTAAATAAAAACAGTTTCATGCACAAATTGCAATTATGTTTTAAAATTTCTTCCTCTTTTGCTCCTTCTTTGTTCTAGGTGGTAACCAACCAAAAGAACACAGTGCAGGGCTTCAAGCGTTTCCATGGCAGAGCGTTCTCAGACCCGTATGTTCAGTCAGTCAAGTCAAACTTGGTGTATGACCTGGCTCCGATGCCTTCTGGATCCACTGGTATAAAAGTAAGATTATACTTACATACAATCTTTTGGCAGTATGTAAATGATACTGATTATTGAGCATGCATCAGGATATGTAAGTGATAGTGCCTCGCTTGGCACATTGCTAACACACAGTCTGAATCAGAAATAAAATCAGAGACATGCTTATTAATCAAACTCGTCATCAAGAGCACTTAACAAACGCATTTGATTACCTTGTACATTTTTCCACAATTCTGAGGGAATGACCAGTCTTTCACATGTTTACAAGCTTTCAATCTAAATTTTTGTGATTGATGGGATAACTAAGATAATCTTAATCATTCTGACAAATTTCAGGTGATGTACATGGAGGAAGAACGAGTATTTAGTATTGAGCAGGTAGCTGGCATGCTGCTGACCAAACTAAAGGAAACAGCTGAATGTGCACTGAAGAAACCAGTTGTCGACTGTGTCATCTCGGTAAGTTTTCCTGCTGTCAGCCACGACAGCGTTTAGTCTGAAAAGCAATGGTTCTTCTGTAATAGTTTTCTTAGTGTTGTGCCTAATTGTCTTGATGTTTTTGAGTTTATTCTTGTGGTACCTTTTTGTATTTTCTTAATATTAATCATCTTTGAAAAGATGATAAAGGTGACTTGTGTACACAGATTATGTTAAGGGGGCTGTTCATATTTTTTGTTACATATCTGTTTTAGTTGAATGGGGTACGCATTTCATTGCAATCAACTGTAAATTGCTCGTGCTTTATGCAAATACACACACAGCTCCATCACACAGAGGGCCATTAGATGTAACAGAGCCGGTCTGCTGATATTTCTATAAAAATGACACTACATTTAGAGATCTGAATTATTATTATTTTGATGTTACTATGGTCCAGAGCCAGAGTTATTACTTGATACGCTTACCTAAAAATGTAAGAAAAGATAAAATTTAGACACATAAACAATAAGTTACTTCACAGAGCTCAGTGCGTCAGCTGTTTCTTTACACAGCTTCATTGTGAACTTAATATCAGCTCGTGAGTTTATTTAGGTGAATATAATGCAACAAATTGCTGCTCAGACTGTTGTTCTTTAATTAATACATTACAATATAGCATGTATAATATAGAGTTATTGTACAGCCAAGTACCATACCATACCAATTTATTTATAGAGCACTTAAAACAGCAACAAGGCCAACCAAAGTGCTGTACAAGAGAAAACAAACATGCACAGCGGACAGGAAAACAAAATAAAAATACAGATACAAATAGGAGCAGAAGCTAACTAAAATGGCCAACAGTGTAGTGTACAGACAGGACCAAAACAAATCACACCATGTTAAAGGCAAGAGAATAGAAGTGGGTCTTCAAGCGAGACTTAAAGACTGAGAGTGTGGGAGCCTGCCGGACACTCAGTGGCAACTCATTCCACAGTCGTGGACCTGCAACAGAGAAAGCCCTGTCACCTCTGAGCTTACGACGGGTTTCTGGGACTGAGAGAAGCATCTGGTCTGCTGACCTCAGAGAGCGCGGTGGGACATATGGCTGCAGAAGATCAGTGAGATAGGATGGGGCGGAACTGTTCAGTGATTTAAAAACATACATGAGAATTTTGAATTGGATCCGAAGGTGAATGGGTAGCCAGTGCAGGGAGGCCAAAACTGGCGTGATGTGCTCTCTATAGCCTGTACCAGTTAAAAATCGGGCTGCAGCATTTTGGACCAGTTGAAGACGTGAAATGGAGGACTGACTGATTCCAAACAGAAGTGAATTGCAGTAATCAAGCCTAGATGTTATAAAGGCGTGGATCACTGTCTCAAGGTTCTTTTTGGAGAGTATAGGCTTCAGCTTAGACAGCCGTCTCAGCTGAAAAAAACAGGATTTGACCATCATGTTTACGTGACTGTTGAGTTTTAAGGACGGGTCCATTATCACCCCCCAGATTAGTGACCTTTTGTTTCTCTAGCGGGGCTAGAGAGAAAAGGTCAATGTCATGGTTCATGAGTGAGCCACTGGGATGGAACAGCATGACTTCAGACTTCTTCTCATTGAAGCTTAAGAAGTTTAAAGCCATCCAGTCCCGAATGTCAGCCAGGCAGTCAAGAAGAGGCTGAATAGAGTGTGTGCCTCAGGGGGAAGTAAATTTGGCAATCATCAGCGTAAAAGTGAAAGGGTATGTTGTGTTTGCGGAAAATAGCACCTAGTGGCAGCAGGTATAAAGAAAAGAGAAGGGGACCGAGGATGGACCCCTGCGGTACCCCCCACTGGAGCGCTGTCGATGCCGAACTCTTTGATATTGACACAGAAGGTTCTGTCAGAGAGGTAGGACCCAAACCATTTAAGGGCTGACCCTGTGATGCCCACCCACTGCTCCAGTCTAGAAATGAGGATCTTGTGGTTGATGGTGTCAAAAGCAGATGTCAGGTCCAATAGGACAAGCAGCACAGAATCACCTGCGTCTGTGGATATGAAAATGTCATTAAAAACCTTCAGTAGAGCACAAAGTTTGTTTTCTCAGTCATCCAGGTATATAACAACAAAAAAGGTTGAAGTAGAGCAGTTTCAGTGCTATGGAGAGATTTGAAGCCAGATTGGAATAACTCTAGGATAGCGTGATCCCCCCAAAAACTGTTTCAACTGAGACTCAACAATTTTTTCCAGTAGTTTAGAGGTGAATGGGAGTCTGGAGACAGGCCGGAAGTTGGACATGACTGAGGGGTCAAGGTTAGGTTTTTTCAGGAGGGGCTGGACAGCAGCATGTTTAAAAGTCTTTGGCACCACACCTGAGGATAAACTGCTATTCAGAATAGCGAGAATAAAAGGACCCAGGGTAGGAAAAACTTCCTTTAGTAGTCGAGGGGGGACCACATCAAAGGGGGAACCAGATGGATTCATGCTACACATTACCTGCTCCAGAGAAGACAGAGAGATGGGCTCAAAGTGGTCAAACACAGCCATGCACTGAGATGGGATGGACAGATCATGAGCTGGTGGAGAAATGAGTGCCTGGGTGTTTGCCACTTTTTCTAAAAAGAAATGGAAGAAAGTAAGAAAGTCATGAAGAGAAAGTCAACCATATGTCCTGTAATATATTTCAATTAATAAAATCCTGATGAAACAGACATTTGCGTTGAAAATAATTGTAATAAATTTTTAATTTCAAATAAAAAAAGTTGTATTTTTTTAGCTTATCCAAAGAATTACTGTTTATTTATCTTTAATCAGCTGGCAGCTGAGCAGACATTTTTTATTACCTCGATGGCCATGACGCTGTATGAGGTCCTACAGCTGCGCTTAGGACAGACTCAGATTTTTAAACCATACAAATAAATGGGATCCAGACCGCCTTCAAATGTAGTCTTTTCCACTTCTAAAGGTTGTTTGAGGGAAAAACATTTAAAATGCACTTTTTGGTAGTTCTGACCTGTATTAAATGTCATCCTATCGCAATCTGATAGCTAAAAAACATAAACAACATGTCTGAATGTCAACATGTTGTTTTTTGTATTTTAATATAATTTACTCGCATATACTTTTTGACATTACCATACCATACCATACCATACCAATTTATTTATATAGCACTTAAAACAGCAACAAGGCCAACCAAAGTGCTGAGCATTAGAGCAATTAATGCCACAATTTTGCATCTTTAAGCAATTTCAGCTTAAAAAAAGATGACAGGTGTATAACCTGTTAAATGTAATATTTTCAACTTTAATCTGCTCACTGGATGTCTTTTTCAAGCTTTATTTCCTCCCTTACACCTTTTTTGGTGAAGAGTGGGAAGTGTTAGAGCTGAGCACCTGTTATGTAAGGTTATAGATCCAACCCAGAGAGGCTAATACTTTCTCTGAGCCTAAATTTATAGTTTACCTCAGCTCGGGGGATGGATAACATGTTATTATTACTGTGGCCTGTAGCTAAATTTAGCATGAACCTTTCCATTAGGAGATGTTTTGTTCTGGTATCCAGATTCACCAATATGGTGACATTTTCCAGACATTTTTTTTAAAACATAGTGTAAAAATTTATCCTTATTTGAGAACATATGAAGAATATTTTGGGGGTCTTTAGACATACTCGGTGTTTTTTCCCATGCTTATCAATTATGCCATGTGTATCCATTTATAACTTTTCTTCTTGGTGTTTTCATGAAGACTATTTTTTCTCATCCTAGGTACCAAGTTTTTTCACTGATGCAGAGAGAAGGTCAGTCATGGATGCAGCTCAGATTGCAGGCCTCAACTGTCTACGATTAATGAATGACACCACTGCAGGTACAAAGTAGCACACGAAACCATGCAGGACACAAACAACTGAATTATTTTTCTTTTTTTGTTTTATCAGTTCTTTTTAGCTGCTTAAACTCAGTTGTTCTATGATTTGAAGTAAAATCCAAATGACACTTGATACAACCAGTTTTTTTTTTAAACCTACTGATGCAGTCTGTTTATTTAGAGAGCTATTTGATCATATTGAGATATGTCCAGCTTTGAGTCATGCTGTAGCTGTAAATCCACCTAAATGTCACTTTAGAGACTTGGTTAGTAATTAAATGAACAGATACAGGAATGTAGCCTTTGCTACTATTATTTGTGCAGATTTCTTTCTGCACGTATCAACAGTTCAAACACAATTTACTTTGGTAAAGCACAGGAGCGAGCAAAGTGAATTGTTGAACAGGCAGAGTTTGAGCAAAAACAACAATAAAATCCTGCTGTTGTTCCTCTGTTGTGTTGCAGTGACTCTCGCGTATGGAATTTACAAACAGGACCTTCCAGCTCCAGAAGAGAAGCCCAGGATAGTTGTGTTTGTGGACCTGGGCCACTCTGGTTACCAAGTGTCTGTTTGTGCCTTTAACAAAGGAAAACTTATGGTGAGTAATGCATCATTCGTGCTGATCAGAAAGAAATTCTGAGGGGTTCTAGTAGTCGTGGAATATAAATAAACACTGCTGAAGTCTTCCACACATGGCTGATATTTGTTTCATGCTTGTGTTGCAACGGAGGAAAACATAAATTAAAGAAGTCTAAAGCAGTTTTAACATTGCCCAGTCTCAGCATGACTTGCTTGGCCCTAATTTGACCAGACCTGGCCGTACACGGTCTTTGTAGTTTTACATATGAGTATCACATCAATGTCTGCGGGGGCAGGTCGTCAAAGTGCAGCCACCCACAACTTGCCTCCAATGAGTAAATAAAAGAGAAACGATATTCTGTCTGTTTCCAAAAATCACAAAAGGGCACCTTTCCTTCGCTGGTAAATGAGAACATTTGGTGTAGTTCAGTTTGAAATTTGTCGTCAGCCACCAAGCAAGGAAACATCTGCACCTCCTCATAGGATCACTGTGTTGCCATTTTAATGGATGTATGACTTTTTAAAAGTAAATAACAAAAAGAAATTCAGTAGTCCCTCAATACTTCGCAGTTTGACTTTCGCGGACACACTCTTTTGCGGGTTTTCAACGTAAGATTGTATGCGACACAAGACTGGCGATGGGGAAAGATAGAACCCGCCCCCTCCTTTCTTTTTCTGAGGCTGTCAGACAGCCTCAGAAAGTGAAAGGAAGGGGTGGGGTCTGCCCATCACTGCTGCTCAGGGAGCAGGAATGAGCAGATCACATGAACAAATGTAGAATATCGGAAAAAATGCTTAGATGGGAATCAGTTTAAAAAGAAAGAGAGTGAGTGCAGCTCACTCAGGTATAAGACAGACCCCCCCCCCCACCCTTTTCTTTTTCTATGTCTGTCTGAGCAGAGACACAACAGGTGGAGCACGCAACAGACAGCCTTGGGAAAAATAAAGGAGGGGGTGGGGTCTGTTTTATACCTGAGTGAGCTGCACACGTGATATGGATTGTTTATTTAAAATAATCAAGCTCGACCTGAACCAATACTTTAGTCCCTCTTGGCGATCACTGAGCGGGCCAGGCCACCGGGAAATGTCTAGCCCACCCCCGGGTCTCAGTAACTGCAGCCTCAGTCCGTCTGCTCTCTTTCTCTGTGCTCTTTTAGAGAGTTTAGAACATTGTTAAGAAGATTGCAAGAGTGTGGGAAGGATTTATAAAGCCTTAAAATATATATAAATACTAAAATATATATATAACATCCCTACTTTGCGGATTTTCACCTATCATGGGGGTGTCTGGAACATAATCCCCGCGATAAGTGAGGGACTACTGTATTGCAGTAGTTGTGAGGTTTTAAAAATGGTGGGTTTGATTCTTGTGAAGGAGATGCTCTTATGATTGTCATCACTCTTTGGTCAATTGATGACCTGTAGTCTGCTAACGTCAAATCTTCAGCTCCACTCAACTTGATTGAGATGTCGGTCTAGTAGGTTCTAAAAACAGAGCTTAAAGTTGTTGGAACCATCCAATGTAAAGACTCTGACCTCATGGCAGGCCGACCCGGGTAGGGCTGAGTCGAGGCAATGCACAAGGGTCATAATTGGCTGTTATACATGTTACTATTTTCTCTGCCACTTGAAGTAATGTGACCATTAGTAGTGACATAATTTAATATTTGAATTAATCAAATCATTTTATTGATTCCCACTCTGTCCTTCCTATAAGATTCTGGCTACAGCTTTTGATTCAGACCTTGGTGGGAAGGACTTCGATGACATCCTGGTAAACCACTTCTGCCAGGAGTTTGCAAAGAACTACAAACTGGATGTCAAGTCCAAACCTCGAGCGTTGGTGCGGCTTTATCAAGAGTGTGAGAAGCTGAAAAAGCTGATGAGCGCCAACTCGTCCGATCTGCCCCTCAACATTGAATGTTTCATGAACGACATTGATGTTTCTGGTAAACTCAACAGGTGAGTTGTGGGTTTTAAAATCGCATAACTTCAAGTAGAGTTGAGTAAAATCATTTAACAGGAAGGAGCTCATGATAGCTTATTAGTCTTTGACGTGGGCTGTTTCAGTGTTTTGAAGAAGCCTACCAAACATGTTTCCTGTCTTTTCTGACATTTTTATGCTATTTGACTTCACATGTGTAGTCTTTTAAACTGCTCGTATTGCTAGGCTTCGTCTATTACTAATTTATGATTCTGCTTCCAGGGGTCAGTTTGAAGAAATGTGCTCAGGGCTGCTGGCCAAAGTTGAGGGTCCCTTGCGTAGTGTCATGGAACAAGCCAGTGAGTACATATGACTTTAAAAACAGCTGGATTATCATGAGTACGTGCACATTCTCAATGACATGTGGGTTTACCGACAGTTGTTAAACTTTGATAACATGCCTGTTGACCCTTCATTAATTGTTATCAGTTTCTGATTGTTCTTGCTCGTCTATCACAAGTAGCAATGTGTCAATAATAGAGATTTGAGCTGTTTGCATTGTACAAGTTAATCACTTGCTCATTCTTATTAAATTAAGAGCCTTAAACAAAGAGGTTTTACTTTTTGAAAATGTAAGAAGCTTATCTTTTTATCTTTACCTCCTGCCTATCTGTACCTAGAACTGAAAAAGGAAGACGTATACGCAGTGGAGATTGTGGGCGGAGCCTCCAGAATCCCTGCTGTGAAAGAGCGGATCAGCAAATTCTTCGGCAAAGAGCTGAGCACGACTCTAAATGCAGATGAGGCTGTCGCCAGAGGCTGCGCTCTGCAGGTACAGCTCACCTGTCACAGCCAAGACACTTCACTGTTTTTTTTAATTTATTGGAATATGAAGCACTGCTTTCTAGCCCTTTGAATTTGAATAGGTTAAATTATTATGTGATCTGCGGGGAAAAAAAACATTTTATTAGGGAACCTTATTCATACCAACCTTATAGTATTTTAAATGAATAAAGTCAGGCATTTACAACATTTTACTATATCTTTTTATGTGTAATTTAGAGTTGCATAATTTAGATGGATTTAATCTGATAAATAAAAACTTTTTATTTTTCTTAACATATGATGTTTGTTTTTTTTCTCCTCAGTGTGCTATCTTGTCACCAGCTTTCAAAGTGAGAGAGTTCTCCATCACAGACGTCGTCCCCTACTCCATTTCTCTAAAATGGAATTCAGCTGCAGAGGACGGGCTGAGGTATGACTGCTGTCCCTGTCATCTCAGGACAGCTACAAATATCTTAACATTTATTTAATTCCTGGAGAATCAAGGCTTTGTTTTTCTTGTCTGTTGATGTAATTGTTAAAACATGATAAGATGTTTTACTGTAGGTAGAAGAGACAGACATGTTCAGTATTCTTGTGGGGGTTTTTTTTACACTAAAGCTTGCTCAGCTTTAAACAATCTGCTGTTTGGTTCCAGATGTGACTATCAGCAGTGACTTCCCTGCCAAATGCAGTGTGTTCACACTGAATGGTAATTTGTACCATGGCAACCCCACACCATCAAGTGTTTTCTTATTTTTTAAACCAAACATTTCAAAAATATAAACGAGTTGTAGGCTCTCTAAAATGAGGACACTTTAAAGAAGATTTAAAGTGTCTAGTATAAATAATTTGTTTTCAAACAGCAGATTGGTGTGTAGGCTGACGGTTGAGTGGGTTGCAGTCTGCAGTGGCTGTCAGAAGCCATATTGCACTTTTTTTCTGTTTTTTTTTTTTAAGATACGGTAGAGAGAATAAAAACTTTACATCACTGCTAAATGCTTTAGGCCAACGTGGCCCATGCTGTTCCTATTTGTCTAATTTTACATGGCTTATTGGTTGCTTTGTTGTGTTTCAGTGATTGTGAGGTTTTCCCAAAGAACCATGCAGCTCCCTTTTCCAAGGTGCTGACCTTTTATCGGAAGGAGCCCTTCACCCTTGAAGCCTTCTACAATAATCCCAAGGAGCTACCCTACCCCAATGCCACTATAGGTACTTGATTTGCAGTCCAAAAAAATACCAGAACCGCTGTTCTATCCTCTGATTTCACAGAATATCGTGTGTAATAATGATACACCTGCAGGTTTCTGCCCCATTGCCACTCTTTGACATCTTCCCTCTACCTCACAGGCCAGTTCTTAGTCCAGAATGTGGTTCCTCAGGCTTCAGGCGAGAGTGCCAAGGTTAAAGTGAAAGTGCGTGTCAACGTCCATGGTGTGTTCAGTGTGTCAAGCGCATCGCTAGTAGAACTCGTGAAACCAACTGAAGGGGAAGAACCGATGGAGACAGACCAGATCACGAAGGAGGAGGAGGTATGTATGTGCACAGGTTGTAAGGCGTGAATGCTATCGTTTGATTAGCGGGAGTTATGTGTGTGGGTTGGAAAAAAGAGCTTTTGGCTTTGTGTTTTGCCTTGAACAATTTTTTTCAGCTTGTCAATGGCCTCACATTTGTGGTAAAACCATCATTCAGCCTTAGCAAGCATTAAACAGCTTCAAGGTGTTAAATGATTTTGGCCTCTTTAAAATTTGATTTAGTCTTTTTTTATTTTTAAGAATCAAAACCTAAGAACAAACCCACCATCTGCACTTCAATATACTGGCAATCTTTTATCTGCAGAATGATATTTACTGCTTTCCAACTTCTCCTCCAACAACTTATTATGCTTTGTGGACAAAATAATACATGTAGTGTGGTGAAGCCAAAACAAACACCTTTCTCCAGGTGTTTTTTCTGAAAAGGTAGTGCTCAATTTAAAGTCCTATATGAATAAATAAAACAAGCCACAAAGTAGCATTTGTCATGTTTAATATAATTTCTGTATATGCTTTCTTTTGTTACCATGTGTCAGAACAAAATGCAGGTGGACCAAGATGATCAGAAACCCCAGGCTGGAGACAACGGAGACAAGAAAACAGAGGCAGAGGAAATGGAGGTAGCCTTGTGCTGGGCGATAAGACAGTATCCATTCACCTCCGTTACACTGTCCAGAGCCAAAATAAAATAGCTTCCTGCAGGTGTTGAACGTGAAGAAGCCTCCAGCTTAGTGTTAAAACACACACAACAAAACAGAAAAGAAAGATAAATGGGTGGATGTGTGGGGAGGTAGCTGCTCATGGTCGATAATAAGACAGCAGCAGTTCAAAGCCGAATGTGTTCAGGTTTTTTTTTTATTTGTGGGGGGTGATGCTAGTGTTCCAGCATTTAGTCCATAATATCAATGATAATATAGAACTGGAAGAATAGCATAAGTAAATAATAGAATAAGTTCAGCTAAAGGACTAAAAACAAGTGTGAGAATGATTACCGTATTATCCGGATTATACATCACTCCGGAGTATAGGTCGCATCAGTCAAAAAAATGCCTCATGAACAGGAAAAAAAACATATATAAGTCACTTCTGAGTATAAGTCACATTTATTTAGACGTGCATTTCACAAAGTGCAAGAACAGACATTTAATCTGAAATAACAATAACACACCAAACATACCTGGGTTCCTGAACAGCTTAATTATCGTAACAAACCAACGAGTCCGACAAGCAAGTTATCATCATCGGGGTCGCTTCTGAACAACTTTGCCAACTCTGGAGGAAGATTGTGGGGGGGTAGCAGAATAAGAACAACATATACTTGTCAAAAGCCTAGAGGGCCCTCTCACAGCTGCAAATGTTAACGTTTACTCTGTTTCATGTGTATGAATGAACATTTAACATGTCAAGTCAAAAATTAGCGTCATGAATAAGGAAAAAAACATATATACAGTATTTTTTGCTCTACTAGTTGCAGTTTTTTTGCATACTTTGCATGCCCTGAGACTTGTATGCCAAAGCAACGTATTTATGGATTTTTTTCTCCATATTTATAAACCAACTAGTTTGGCTGAGATATGACAGTTTTCATTCATTCTGACTGAAAATATTGAACACTACCATTTTCAATCGCTAGATGGCAGTTGAGCAGTTAGGCATGCCGTTGTATCGTGTAATAGGTAAAAGTGGCTATTAATGACTCAATCGACTTGCCTTAGCCTGCCCCCGTTGTCTGCCTGGAGCAACTGTCAAATCAGCTAATTTGACCATTGAAGTACATTTATTAAGTAAAAGTTCAATTGACACACAAATTTACTATAATGTCGAGCAAACAAATAATTGTTTAGGTGATTATCTTGTTAAATTTCGAAGAAATGCACAGCGAGTTGCCCTCTGCTCGTTCATGTTTTCGCATATCGGCTTTTGAAAATACAGCTGATTTGACCGTCAAAGTGCATTTATTAAGCAAAAGTTAGATGGAGACACACCTTTGCTATAATTTCAAGCAAACATAATTGTTTTTAAGTGTTAATCTGGTTAAATTCTTGTTAAAGCCGTCCCGTGCACGCCCCCACGGCCGCCATTTGGCAGCCAATCAATTTTTGGCACAACACCGACCCACATTAACGGGTTCAGCCCACATTTCCAGGTTGTCAGCGGTGACACGAAACAAATGCGATGCGTCAGCATTGACACATAATAGATGCAACTTATACAGCAAAGTGACATATTTATGAATTTTTCCACTTTATTAGACATATTTGGACTGATGCAACTTATAGGGCGGTGCGACATTTATGACGGAAAATACGGTAAGTCGCTTCGGACTATACGTCGCAGGACTGGGCAAACTGAAAAATAGTGCAACTTAAGGTCTGGAACATACGGTAATAAGTTCACGCAGAATTTTTTTTTTAATGATTCGACATGAGTGTTACAGAGGCCATTAACTGAATTTCACCTCACACTGAGTCGCAGGTGCGTGTAATCGAGGCACCTCCATATTATATTTGAGTGGTGGAGCAAGTTCACATTTTTTACCCCTTGCAACTCTATAGCAGTTTACTTTGCACTTAAGTTACTGGTACTGATTTTATATTAGTCCTACTACTGTTACACTTAAAATATACTATAGAGAAAATCATGTTACCAAATCCTTAAAAAAAAGGGAACTGTCCCCAAATGTTTAAAGGCTATTGAATCAATCATCAGTTTCTTTATCTTACTCAACTGAGTGTGTCTCCTCAGTTTGTAAGCTGAGAGCAATGTCCCATAGGAGAGAAAAAATGGGATTTGGTTTGTAATTTGTAGCCATATCGCCCAGCACTAGGTTATCAATGAATGAAAAGTACCAACTTTAATTATGTTTCTAATTTTGTAGCTATAGATTTTACACTGGGTGAAAGTATATGGCTTTTTAAAATGTATATATTTTAAGGGACAACATTTGAAAAGGAGCTTCCTTGTCAAACAATTTGAAGTATTTTTTCTTTATCCTTCACTCTAAAACTTTCAAACTGCAGGTGAAATGTTTTCGAAACTGAGAACCAAATTGTTCCTATAAAAGCACAAGCACTTGTTTTCTGACTTAAAGAGACAGAACAAATCAATAGATTGTGTTGTTGCAGTTTAAGTCTCTAAAGCTGCTCAAACCTGAGATTAGAGCTTAACATTTTCATTACAGGACAATTACTGAAACCAACTAAAGGCACTAAATTTAAGATTATTCACTGAATTGGCTTTACATACAGAACTCGGAACACAGCTCGCCTAAAAGTAACAATTGTATTAAAAGGAAACCTCGTTTTTTCCACCAGATGTCAACGGGTGATGCCAAAGAGGAGAAGAAGAACGACCAACCTCCTCAGGCAAAGAAGGCCAAAGTAAAAACGAAGACTGTGGATCTGCCTATAGAGGGCAAACTGCAGTGGCAGCTGTCCAGTGATGAACTCAATGTGTTTGTGGAGAATGAGGTAACGCTCTAAAAATCCTCGGGAATGTTTCGCACACAGACAATGTTAGCACAAACGGTCTGCTAGTGAGACGCTGACAGCAAATTTCTCCTGTTTCTTTGAACTAGAAATAACTTGAACATCACAACTTAAGTGGAGCATGGATTGCTTTTAAATAAATGTTTTGGATAAATGAAATGGAAACCATATGGAAATGGTTTAGCTATTAAACTGACTGATCTATTTTTTTGTGACTCCTAAAGGGGAAGATGATCATGCAGGACAAGCTCGAGAAGGAGAGAAATGACGCAAAGAACAATGTAGAAGAGTACGTGTACGAAATGAGAGACAAACTGCACGGAGTGCTGGAGAAATTTGTGAATGAATCCGTGAGTACAAATAAGACAGACCAGACACCATCAGTTTATCTTTAACCTTATTTACGGTTAATTGGGGACTGCAGCGGCAGCCTCCAATTATTATCCACCTGAAAAAGGTCTTGCTCTTCCATCAACTTTAATGTGGCCTGAACCGCAACGTGTACTCCCACAAATTTTATATCGCAATGACTGGCTTGGCACCAGGATGTGTGTTTTTATTGAAGTTTTGAGTTACCATGGCGACATAATTTGCAAAAGACGCCATTTTTCGTATTGAATAACACTGACAGAAATCTTAACAGCTTCTAACTGCCACAGTGAGGTCACATGACCTAGAGTGGAGAGGTCTCTGCACAAAATACCAATTAACTTTTGGAGCCATTTTGGTTCAAGATGGCTGCCACAGCTACCTTAGAAAACTGAAAATTGGCTACAACTCAGTCATTCTCTGAGATATTGAGTTGAAATTTGGTATGACCATAGTTGAGAGCGAGCTGTTATACATTCCTAAAGCAAATTAAAAATCTAAGATGGCCACCTTAAAAAAATTTGATAACTCGGCTATTATAAAAGATATTGAGCTGAAATTTATTGGGGTAGTAGCTGAGAGCAATGCCCCAGAAATACTGAATTTAAAAAAATCAAGATGGCCCCCAAAGCTAAATTTAACTGACTTTAATTTAGCTATTTTTACAGAGCTAGAATTTGATGTGGTTGTAGCTGAGCGCGTTCCCCATCACACACTGAATCCAAATCAAAAATCCAAGATGGCTACCTTAGCTTTTTTTTTTTTTTTGGGGGGGGCCATACTGAGCTGAAATTCGGTGTGGTAGCTAAGAGAGAACACCGACATATAGTACTGTCAAATCAAAATTTTAAAATGGATGCAAGTGGCAGTCTCTGTCAAATTTTCTCCAGAAACTTTCTAGTTGTTCATTTCTCTTCTGCTCTTGATAATTTTGAGTTTTTGTTCAACTTTCAGGACCGTGATCTGTTTTCATTGAAACTCGAGGACACGGAGAACTGGTTGTATGAAGATGGAGAGGACCAACAGAAACAAGTGTACATTGACAAACTGGTTGAACTAAAGGTAAGCATTGTGTGGCCTGAAACTGATGTTAAAAAGAGAATAACAGTTTGTTGGACATTTGTATTCTGGGTAAAATGAGATGGTGACTAACAAGTGCCTTGCAAGGTTTTGCATGTCTGTGTGCAGTGTTAAAACTTCTGAGCTGCTTCATAAAAGAGAACAAATTATTTTACTTAATTATCAACAAATTACTTGTTTTCTGATGCTTCATTAGTTCAGCACTTGGCTATATTGTATTTTATTTTAAATGTTTGTGGTTAATGCTAACATATTAAAAGTTATAGAATAAAAATGCATATTTTTTATTCATAAACTACATTCAGGATTATGTAACTATGGCTTCACGCAGAAAGAGATGTGGAGTGCAGCTGTCATTTTGCTTGACTTGACCGGAGGTTCCTTTTTACAGCAAATTGGTCAGCCCATTCACGATCGATGCATGGAAGCCAGCGAAAGACCAAAAGCATTTGAGGAACTTGGCAGACAAATCCAGAAGTACACAAAGATCATAGAAGCTTACAAGGCTAAGGTAACATGGCAAAGTATCAATATGACAACTCTCGTTTGTGAATTATTTGTGCTTTAATACGAACATCTGAAGGTTCGATTTGAGCTGTCACTTATAAGAAATTGTTTTCAACGTCAGGATGAGCAGTATGCTCACCTTGACGAGCTGGAGGTGACTCGGATCGACAAGCTGGTCGGTGAAGCCATGGCCTGGATGAACTCAAAGATGAACCAGCAGAACAGTCAGGACCTCACGTTGGACCCAGTGGTCAGAGTTGGAGAGATTCAAGCCAAGACTAAGGTGCTTTAAAGGCACACACTCTCATTGTAAACATTTACGTTGACTTACCTTTTCTAAGCTATCCTTAAAAGCTGAACTCACATTTTCTAACCACTCGTCTTATTTTCATTGTTTAGGAGCTTTATTCATCCTGTAACCCAGTGGTGTCCAAACCCAAGCCCAAAGTTGAGCCTCCTAAGGAGGAGAAGACAGAAAACGGGCCAGTCAATGGTCAGGAGGTGACAGAAAACCAGCCATGCAACCCAGATAAAGCAAAATCCTCAGGCACAGAGCAGGAAACGGCAGAAAACAAGCTTCCTGAGATGGACATTGACTAATTTTTTCTGCTGCCAACCTTGAGTTTTCCATTCTTGTTTGTGCTGCTACCCACTTCTGCCCTTCTTTAAAGATTGTTATTGACGGCGCCATGGCCTCTGTTGAAGACACACAGCAGCATCTGTTATCAGTGCTAATTACCAGGCCGCCCTCCCGGCATGTCTTTTCTTATGTTTTGGACTTTCAAAATATTACATAACATGATGGAATGAACTACTTGAAGACTTGAAGGTTGTGGGGGTGGGGGTTGCTTTCTCTGTGCTGCTTTGATGGCTGTAATGCTCATTTAAGCTAAGATTATCCGATTTGATGAACTGTCTGCAACATGGCCGTTCATAGCTAATAGTATTTAGAAAAATTGTGAAATTGTAAAATATTGTTTAATTAAGATATAAATGCAGAGGCATAGGTGGCAGGGACTTGAATTGTTTCAGTTGTTAATGTAAAATATTGCATTTTTCTTTTATTTCCACCACAGACACTTGTAACTTCTGGATGATGTATTTAGTTAAAACAAACACAAAAGGAGTTTCTTTTTTTTTTAAGTTCTGAAAAGGTTGACAATAGATGCAAGTTACTGTTATGCAGTATTTCATTGTTCTGCTTTTCTCATTTAAAAAGCAACGATCTGTTTGTTCTCCGGTAGCCTTGTAATGTTCTTTTGTTTTTGTTTGTTTTTCTACTTTAAAGTTGTGATTGCTGGTTCAGCGTGTCACCTTTTAAGGTGCTGTTCTTGCCACGTCACAGAAAAAGCAAAAAATAATTCCTAAAAATAAAAGCTTTGGGGGAAAACAACTTCTTGACGAGACATTCCAGACTCTTGTTTTCTTCAAGAGTTCTCTGATGGCTCTGCTGTTATGGGCTGCATCGGCGGTGACGGTGAGGAGGAATATATGGGCACAGTAAGGAAGTTTTCAATTCAGTTTACTGTACTTTCCGCTGTACACGTCACACCGTCATATGTCGCATCAGTCCAAAAATGTTGAATAAAGTAAAAAAAAAAAAAACATACGTTGCTTTGCCGTATAAGTCACATCTATTATGCGTCACTGCTGACCCCCTGGAAACGTGGCCGGTGTGCCAAAAATCGATTGGCTGCCAAATGGCGGCTGCGGGAGCGTGCATGGGAAGACTTGACAAGAATTTAACAAGCTTAACACTTAAAAACTATTATTTGTTTGCTCGAAAATTATAGCAAAGGTGTGTCTCCGTTGAACTTTTCCTTAATAAATGCACTTTGACGGTCAAATCAGCTGCGTTTCACCTTGGCGGCACGGCAAAATGCAGCTGATTTGTTGTTTGCTCCAGGAGTTCCAGAGAGAGATGAAGGTGGCTTTGTATGGCAATCCAAGTGTCTCATTAATAGTCACGTTTACATATTAATCAAACACTTGGCTTGCCATATTGTTCGAGGGCCCTCTAGCGGCTGAAAATGGTAGCGTTCAACATTTTCCATGTCAGAATGAATGAAATAGTCAGATCTCAACCAAAAATTGTGTTATAAATATGGGAGAAAAAAACGTATATTAGTCACTTCAGTGTACAAATCGCAGGACTTGCACATTTATGCAAAAGGGTGTGACTTATATGGTGAAAAAATAGTATTTATATAGTGCCAAGTCACGACAGAAGTTGTCTCAGGGCACTGAATAAAAACATTCATACATAATAAGTTAACACTATTTATCTGAGGAGCAGACGGCTTTGAATTTAACTCCATCGCATAACTCATCTTGAGCAAGCATGAACGCGACAGTGGAAAGGAAAAACTCCCTCATGAGGAAGAAACCTTTAGCAGAACCAGGCTCGGGACAAGCGGCCATCTGCTGCGACCAGCTGGGCTTGAGAGGAACAGGATGCTGGTGAAGATTCTCAGTCATCCAGGACATGATAAATTCAAAAAACGTTCAATACAAAAACAACTGGACTTTACAAATGAAGTCCAGTTGTTTTTGTGTTGAACGTTTTTTGAGAGGAACAGGAAACAGTTTATGGACTAATGTGATTGTAACCATCTAAAGCTGAACACTTTAAAGACCAAAGAGATGGTGATTGATTTCAGAGAAAAGACCCAAACATGAGCCTGTTTTCATTCTTGGAGGTGGAGCATGTTGCCAGTTACAGGTGTCTGAGCTTACTGCTGGATACATGAAGTGAGCATACAAGAAAGGTCATGGCAAGCTGTACTTTTTAAGAAGACTGCCGTCCTTTAATATCTGCTGCGCTGCTGTGCTCTTTTTGCAGGACTGTTGTAGCTAGTGCTTTATTCTTTGGGGAGGTCTGTTGCGGGCGGTGGGGTGGGGGGTGGTTTAAATGTCAGATAAACAAAGACATAAACCATGTGAATGTTTCTGTTCAGTGCCCTGAGAGGACTTCTGTTGTGAATCGGCGCTATATAAATAAACTGAATTCAATTCAATTCAATAAAAACACCAAGCTCCACTGCTGGAATGTGATGGGTATGATAGTTACAGCCAGTTATAGATAGCATCCAACATCTGCAAGGTGCTTGCAGGAGCATTCATGTAAATAATGTCACCGTAGTCAATGGAGAGGAGGAAAGTAGCCGTTACAAGGTGTTTCCTAACGATCAGAGTTAGACTAGATCTATTTCTGAAAAAGAAACCCAATTTAACTTTCATTATCTTTACTAATTTTTTGACATGAGGCTTAAAAGAGAGATGTGAATTAACCAAAATACCCAAGTATTTATAAGAATCGACAAACTCAATAGGAACACCATTCAAAGATAAAATCGAGGGAAGGACTGCCAGTACCAACTTTCTGTTTGAAAACAACATCCTATGATTTTGTCTGCATTTAGCACCAGTTTGAGACAGAACAAATCTGATTTTGTCAAAAGTGAACTGTAAGAGCTGGAAAAGCTTAGCAACTGTTTTAGCGCTACACTAAGCAACTGTGTCATCAGCATAGAAATGTAAGGATGCATCAAGAATTAAGTGACATTATATATGTAGATTGTGAAGAGAGTGTGTCCTAAGACTGAACCTTGTGGTACACCATTGTTAATAGTTCAATAACTGGAAGAAGTAGAATATGTTGAACATATTCTGAGTTGAGATATAATTAGAGAAACAACCAATGGTATGTTCTGAGAAACCAATTTCTGAGAGCTTATGACACAAGATGTCATGATCCACAGTGCCAAAAGCTTTAGACAGGTCTAAGAAAAGTGCAGCACAATGATCCTTGGTAGTGCTTCAACAATGTCATTAAACCTTCAGCGAAGCAGTCATTATACATGCATGTTTTTGGTCTGTGGGAGGAAACCGGAGAAACCCCACACTTGCACAGAGAGAACATGTAAACTCCACCCACAGAAAGCCCCCCGGCCTATAAAGAAACCGATGCAACATCGGCCTCTGGGGTCGCTGTCATCTGAGTACGTGTACACATCATTTAGACGTCGGGGCATCAACCGGCGCATACACCAGATAGCCCGCTCAGATACAGCACAGCAACGACAGCGTTTGTTTAAAGGCAAGTTTCTACTTTAGTTATACATAAGTGAATAAATTAGGTTAGTATGATGAAATTTATTTTGCATTGCTAGTCGCACAGTAAAGTTTAATTCATCATCATTTTATCAGGTCTCTCTTGTAAATGAGTCCTCGAGGCTCAATGGGATTTACCTGTATAAATAAAGGTTGATTGATCAGTTCCTGCCCTCAGAAGATTTAAACTCCTCTTTTACTATTTCTAGCTGGATATTGCGCCATTTTACCGCAAAGGAGTAGACTCAGAGTTTCGTCATGACAAGAACCGGTGTCAGAGGGTAGAAGTCACTTGCCTTGGTTACTTGGGACACTAAAGGTAGTAAGTAAATATTAATTTTCAACGATTGAAATGAACTGTCTGTTTTAATCGCCTCATAATGCGTTTCTGATTCACCGCCGAAAGAACAGTTCATGAGCTTTTTACGTATATAGCTACAACAAAATCTTTGTTTACATCAGCTAGCTAACACAGGGCAAGCTAGCTAGATGAGTTTTGTGGCTGTTTAGCTAGCTGGAAGTTTGTCAGCTGCTTCGACCTGCTGAAATATTTTTTTAATCAAATTTTATTACATTCATTGTCGTCGAACATACGATTTACAGTGAAGATTACCTGTTTGTGTGTTAACATGCTAACCTTTAGGGCTAACCCTTAGGCTACAACGTAGCTTAGCGAGTTTTCGTTTTCATATATTCTTAATCTAGTCTCTTACTTTATTTTTAAGAGAAATAAATAAATAAACTAATCTAGACACAAAATCTTAATAGTCTCACAGGCTGTTAGATATTAGGTGTTTGCTACATGTGTCCAAGTTAAAGTTAACATGTTTCTGTTGAAGGAATGTAAATGACTGAGGATCAGGAAGCCCAGGAGAATGAGCTGCTTGCTTTAGCAAGTATCTATGATGAAGAGGAGTTCCGCCGTGCGGAGTCTGCACAAGGAGGAGAGATCCAACTCTGTCTGGAGCTGCCTCCTGAGTTTAAAGTGGTTGTTAAAGGTACAGATGTGAGCAAAGTGCACAGATCAGCTTTAATGTGCAGGGCTATTTTTGACTATGCCTTTGTCCTTCTGAGCAGTTTTATATGAAATGCAAGCAAACTTACTCTGTGTTGCAGGAGAGAAGACAACTGAACATAATGTCTGCTTCCTGCCTCCACTGATGCTCAATTTTGAGCTTCCTTCAGACTATCCATCCACATCTCCCCCAGTTTTCACTCTCAGCTCTAAATGGATCACCAAAGCTCAGGTAAGATTCGTACTAATAAAAATATTTCCTTGTAATAGCAGATAAAAGACAAGCACATCTCTGCACACTTCAGCTGCCCAACCATTGATTTTTTTTAATACTCTTTTATTGCTTGATTCATTCAGTTAAGCACTCTCTGTCATCGCCTGGATGAGTTGTGGGAGGAAAACCAGGGTTTTGAGATTCTCTTCATGTGGATCCAGTTCCTCAAAGAGGAAACTCTGGAATTTCTGGGTATTAAGTCTCCGCTTGAAGTCATCGGGAAGAAAAAGGCTACTGGTGAACAAAGGAAAACGGACCTTGCGGCTAAAGGTTAGATTATATTTCTGTATTTTAATCACTCAAAGTACCTTAGTAATACTCATGCCAGCAAAAAAAAAAATACAAAGTAGATAAATTTGCATTTTATTTTATATGTTTAATTGTATTGTGAGTTATTAAAATTTTACTCCAGCTGCAGACAACTACATGCTACATAAACATTCAGTCATGTATTTGTGTTGTTCCCAAAGCCAGCATCCTCTGTTTCTCTGCTTGTCTCATATTTGGTGTTTCCTGTTCTGGTGATCCAGTGTCTTTTAAGGAAGGGCATTTCTATCACTTCCTCCACTGGATCTCTAAAACACCATCTTCTAGTAAAAGATTAAAGGGGGGGGGGGGGGAATTGAATCTCTTTATAGACTATTTTTAAACAACATACAGAAATTTATAAGCAAAGGTTTTATACTCCAGCTTAAGTTTCACATTTGATTTGTGCTGTTTTAATGTCAGTCTGCTGGTGACATATTTTTCTAATGTTGCAGATTTTAACATTCAGTCTGGAAGAAGCTAAAGATAAATTATTATTATTATTATTTTGCTAATGCTTTGCAGTATGGTCAGTTTGTCTTATATGTGTTTTTATATGAGCATTTACATTTTACTTCTGTTTGTATAATTTATAATAAGAATGATCATCTTTTATTTTATCCAAGTTTTTTTTTAATTAGATTATATACTTGGTGAAATAAAAAGCAGTTTCTCATCTAAAAATAAGCAACCTTACTCAAACTTGTGTGTGCATTATTGTATTTGTGTATTCAAACAGCTTTTTGCTCTCATTCCAGGTGGGGCACAATGCACCAACCAACCCGAGAAGCCAAAGGAGAAAAAGACGGAGGTGACTAAAGAGAAATCTAAGCAGCATAGTTTGTCATCGTACAAACTGGATCCCCGTGCCGTCGTTTTGATGGACCCACATTCTGACCCCCTCGCTCAGCTTCTTGACTTTGACGAGGCGCAGCGGCAGAGAGTGTTTGACAGCAAAACATTTTTGTGCGGAATCTGTTTCGGGGATAAACTGGGCTCCAACTGTCTCTGCTTTAAAGAGTGCCAGCATGTTTACTGCAAGGCCTGCTTGACAGAATATTTTGAGATTCAAATACAGGATGGCAACGTTCAGTGCCTTAACTGTCCTGAGCCCAAATGTACCTCAGTCGCCACACCATCGCAGGTAAGACAATAGAGCAGATTTGTTCCAAAAAGTTAAGCTTCAATCCATCTATGTAACTTAGTATTTTCAGTTTTTCAATCATATCAGCAGTTCCTCTATACCTTCAGTTTTTCTTTTTATCTTTAAGGTAAAGCAGCTAGTTGATGAGGACCTGTTTGCCCGATACGACCGTTTGCTGCTTCAGTCCAGTTTGGACTTGATGGCGGATGTCGTGTACTGTCCGCGCTTGTCCTGTGGCACTGCAGTAATGGTGGAACCAGACACAACCATGGGCATCTGCTCAGCATGCCAGTATGCTTTTTGCACACTGTGCAAGCTGGGCTACCATGGTGTCTCTCACTGTAAAATCACTGCAGGTAACGCCACAGAAAATGCTTTTGTTGTTATTTTTTTTTTGTTTTAATATTATAAAATTAAACATAAAACTACAGAAGCGCTTTAGAGCCACTGTGCAATAAATGTTTTTTTTTTTCTTGAATTTTGAATATTTTATTATTATGGGAAAAGTCAGAATTCTGAGAGGAAAAAAAATATTTTTTTGCACTGTGGCCCTTATCCTCTTTGGTATAAAATAATATTTACAGTAAAAAGCACAAAAAAAAAGTTAATTTCCATTTTTCTTCCTTGCTCCACAGATGATCTGCGTAACCTGAGAGACGAGTATCTGTCGGCCACAGCTGAGGGACAGAAGTTCATGGAGCAACGCTTCGGGAAGAGGGTGGTCCAGAAAGCTGTGGAGGAGTCTTTTAGCAGGGACTGGCTCAATGAGAACTGTAAATGCTGCCCCAGATGTGGAACAAATATTCAGGTAGACCCCGCCCCTCCTTACTGTAGAACTGTAGCTTCATCTTTACCAACAGGGGTCAGTGTTTACCAGTGACACATTTTAAATTTGAAACAAACCGTACAGAGTTTGATGCATTGATGCACATGGACTGCTGGAGATAAGCATCAGCTCCCTGCAACTCAAAAAGGAGAAGCAGGTAACAAAAAAAGATGGCTGGATCATGATTTTTTTACATTCTGTCTTGTGTGTGTGTCTCATTAGAAAGTGGACGGCTGTAATAAGATGACCTGCACTTCCTGCAAACAGTACTTCTGCTGGCTGTGCCTGGGTGCTCTCAGCAAAGTCAACCCATACAGTCACTTTAACAATCCTCATTCACCCTGTTATAACCGGTATGTTCATGCTCTGTCTACTTCTCCACATGAAACGACCATTTGTCCACACGGTGACCGTCTTTTCTTGCTTGCTGCAGACTCTTCCTCGGCGTAGATGTGGATGAAGACGATTTTTGGAGCGACGAAGAGGACTGAAACCAGTGGAGTGCCTCAGAGCTGTTCGTGTCATTTGAATGCACTTTATATCTCATGTAATCATCACTTTTTTTCTGGGACTCCGGCTACACCTGAATTTGTCTACATCCGTATGCTTAAATACTTTTGTCACTGGTTCGAGTACGGTCGGGCAAAAGGGAAAGGAAACGTTCTTTATTTGGATGCTTGAAGCTAATAGTTGCGTAAATATGTCAGATGTCATGCATCTACATTATTTACTTATACTTAAATAGAAAAAATATATTTACTTTTTCTGTTATTTTTTTTGTAATAAAACATCACAGTTACACACACACACACACACACACACACACATATATATATATATATATATATATATATATATATATATATATACACACACACATAATATTATATGTTATTATATGTTATTCTGCAGATTGGATCTTCTAGGTGTATTTTGTCCACCCTTTCATCGTGCAATTTGACCTTTTTCAGGCTTGTAACGATAAATAAATGGCCGTGGATTCACTGGCTCAAGTTTGCTCAATAAATTTAACCCATTTGTTCTCAATTGAAAACCTCTTGCAATAAGAAGACCAGTACTGAGCTGCTTTTAAAACTAATTACAATATGTACGTTTTGATTTGTCCAAAGTACAACAGCAGTAATTCTTCGATCTTTAAGGTGGAATAATGGATAATAATAGTAACAATAATAATAAAAATGGATGGTACAGGATATGATTAAGGCAGCAAACTCGTCTTAATTCGTTTTGGCGTCCAGCTTAATTTAAAACATTGTTTCTAATCAGTGTGGTAAACTCATGCATTTCTTCAAAAACACATGCAGAGTGTTATTACGAAGTTTAATCTTTCATTTATTTAATGGGATTTGATTTCTTTTTCTTTTCTTATCCAGTTAAAGATGTAAAGGTTTATGCTTTCATAAGAATAGTCCATAACAGAAATGTGGAAAATGTCCAACACAAAGCCACCTTTAGGTTATCCAGACTGCTTCTTATTTGGTTCAGTTATGATTGTTGATTATAATTATGGCGAATGGAGAAACCTTTTAGTTGCTTTTGTGAAAAAACAAAGTTTCCACTTTTTGAATTTGGACTATCGTTTGGTTTATTTTCCACACATCTTCTATTGCAACTATTTATTTTCAAATTTTACTAAATATTTGTGTCAAATTTAGGTTCTAAAAGCTTTAAATTGTCAATAAGCAAAAACTGTTTTATACTGTGTCAATGTAATATTTATTATGGATTTGAAAGGATTCTATAAATGTTAGCTGAATGTGTTGCTTCTCACTGCTCGAACGCTGCAGACCAGTTTGTGAGTTGATGCTGATGTGAACAGATTGAAGATGATGTTTAATATGAAAATGCACACGGATTGGTTTAGGCCCGTTTCGACGGAGACAGCAAAAATAAACGTCCCAGGATCTGATTTGTGCGTTTCATTTATTCAGATACAACACACATAATTACACTTAATATTTGACAGCTGAGCGTTTATCTGGTGTTAAAGCTTAAAAGAGATGCAAATTGACCAAGATACCCAAATATTTTGTAGGAATCAGTAAACTCGATATAGGAGCTCAATAGGATAATAAGGGTCTGGCATTAAAAAAAAAGACAAAAGATCATTGTGTTGAAAATGAACTTATTTTGCATTCATTTTTTACTCGAGTTATCCTGCTGATACCAAGTTGACTGAAACATGAGTCCAACACAAGTGATGCTGAAGTGTTTATTTAACCAGATCTGAAGGATTTAGGATGTTTTAATTCCCATGGTTTATATAAATATAAATTAAGGTTGAATGAATGTCTGTTTTAGGTCATAAGCAGACCTACCAAATGTAGATGCACACATCTTTCACAAAATATGTTGAGAAAAATGATCATTTCTGTCCATTTTAAAATTTATTCTCCACACATTTTGTCTCTGGTAACAAAAATAATCCCCATTTTATCATACTGTGTTTTAAAATGGTGCAAATATAAAGTTAAAGCAACAATGTCATGTTTTTACACGACTCGCACAAAACATTTGAGTGTATTTCAGCTTTTTATCTCAACATGAAGTTTAAAACACCTTTTAAAGCATAAGATAAATATACAACAGTTTCTATTTGTATACAGTTTAACTACCTACAGACAAAAATACATAATTTAAATTTTACCTGTTTGTTATTTGACGGATTAAAATCTATAGTTCTATTTCAAATGCAGATGAAATGTTGCATACAACTTGGTTTTCTTTAAACTTGTTTTTTTAATTGATTCTGACAAAACATTTTCTCTTAAGGTTATCAAAAAAAAAAAGAGCTCCAGTAACAAACTGATAAAAGTCCAAGAATTTCCTGTGCTGTCCCACGCACTGCTCTGTGCAGAGGTTCAGCTCCTAACAGCATCTTGTTACCTGATGACCCGTGTTTCCCCGGTGATCCAGAGGTTAGCCCGTGACACAGACGCAAACAATGCAACAAACAAAGAGCCCACATTTAACCTGAAACTGAAAAGGGACAACATTGTGTGAACCCTTTTGGCCAGAGTTGCTGACTGTGGAGAACCCTTTAAAATGGCCCCTCTCTCCTGTCCTGTTCCCTGACTCGTGCTCTTGTTTTGAACCCCTCCTGTCTCTTTCTCCATCCACACCGACCAACATCAACTGGGGTGATTCTGGGCCTTGGAACTGACACAAGAAACCAACATCTGGAGATTTTACTGCATCTTCATCCTTCACCACGTCCTCCTTGTTGGTTTAAAGAAGCAGGGCCAGACGAAGGTCGGTGGATTTTAGAGCTGAAGGTCATAAATTTGTTGTCAGCCATGGTCTGAAAAACTGAGCTGAATGAACAAACTCTGCTTAACTTTAGAGGCTATTGTGTTTTTACCATTACAGCAGTTTTATTATATAATACAGAATGCTATCGTAGGCCCTGGCTCACAACCCAACAGCTCTATGAATCACTGTGTTAGTAAAATATCAGCTGTTATTAACTAAGAGGCAAGATATTAAAAAAAGACGTATTTGATGTTGTAATGTTAACATTAAAATAACGATGAGATCAATTTAAATATCTATTTTTTAAGGGCTCCATGTCCAATAAAGATGAGAAGTATTTGATCATAAAGATATTTCTGTCTTATTCTTTTGGCTGATTTTTGAGACAAAAAAACTTGAATACACCGGCTACAAGAAGCCTCAGTGTTAATCAGATGTGGCCGGTCTTCACTTCTTCGACTCTGCACACCAGCAAGGGGTTATAACATGCTTTATTATGAACTAATATTTTAAAACGGTCTCCCTGAGTGGACTTTTGAACTACTTTTCAGAGCGTTCACTGAGTTTAACACCACTACAGGCAATATCTACTTACAGGTGCATCTAAAAAAGTTAGAATATCTTGGAAAAAGTTCAAAAATCACTTCATAAAGTGAAACTCTTACATAGATTCATCACACATGGACTGAAATATTTCAAGCCTTTATTTCTCGTAATTTTGATGTTTATGCTTTACAAATAATAAACAAAATTCAATTTGTCAGAAAATGAGAATATCCCACAGCCAGCTCTTGGTACCTTTGTCAGTGTAGGCAGGAGTCAAGTCCTGCTGGAAAATGAAATCAGCAACTCCATGAAGCTCGTCAGCAGAAAGAAGCACGAAGTCTCTAAAATGTCCTGGTAGATGCTGCGTTGACTGTGGACTTCAGGAAACACAGTGGACCAACACCAGCAGAGGACATGGCACCAAACCATCACAGACAGTAGAAAATTCACACTGGGCTTCAAGCAACATGGATTCTGGACCTCTCCACGCTTCCTCCAGACTCTGGGACCTTGATGTCCAAACGACATGCAAAATGTACTTTCATCTGAAAAGAGGACACTAGACCACCAAGCAACAGTCCAGTTCTTTTCATCCTCAGCAGGTAAGACACTTCTGATTGCCTCTGGTTCAGGAGTGGCTGGACTTGAGGAATGACACATTTGTAGCTCATGTCCAGGAGTTAATCAGCTGATCAGGGTGTGACTCCATGAGTTTACAATATTGAACATCTTCACAATATTCTAATTTTCTGACACTGATTTTTTTATTTTTCATTATCTGTCAGATGTAAAATCATCAAAATTACAAGAAATAAAGGCTTGAAATATTTCATTTGATGTGTGATGATTCAATATAATATGAGTTTCATTTTCTGAAATTACTGACAAAAATATTGGACTTTTTCATGATATTCTAAGTTTTTGAGGCGCGCCTGTGTGTGAACATCACTAAATAACGTCTTAATGTTTACTGTTTGAAATGATTATGAAAAATGATCTTTAGCTTCAGAATTTATTTAAAAAAAAAAAACTTTAAAAGCAAAAATTCTTCCAAAGTGCCTCATGGGTGTTTCTCTTGTTTTACACATCAAAACGCAGTGGAATGAACCTATAAAACAAACAAAAACCCCTAAACTTTAAGGATACTTTGTTTTCTTATCATAGCATAGATGGATTATTTAGGAACATAGCCAGTGGAGCTCAAAATATAATCATCTGGTCTGGTACAAAGCAGAGGCTATAATGATAACTCATCTACTCAGAAAGAGGCTGAGATCGAACCATCCACAGCCACCGAGGGGCCACGAACACCAGGAGCCATCATATGATGAACGACAACGACAGGCTGAGTGACAGAGAGCTGTCAGCTGTGGTGCAGAAGCTTTGGGACAATGATATCAACCGACTCACACCTGGAAAAGACTACAGGATCTCTCTGCAGGTGCACCATGCACACAAATACACATCTTACTTCTCACTCTTCCCCTCTTTACTGTAAAAAAAAAAAAAAAAAAGAGCAGCTTTAAGATCTACTGGAAAAACACAGTTATTATCTGTAAAAACAAGTTTGTGAAATAGCTTAGAATTGGTTTTGTTATCCTAGAATACATTCATCTTGCCAATTGGTGTCTTTGAGAGAAATAATGTATATATTTTTTTAACAATTAGGAGTAAAATAAAATTAAAAAAGGGCTTTCTCCTCTTGCCGCAGGGCAAAGCTGGAGACAGCATGGGCGTCAGCGACAACAGCAACGCAGCAGGATTTCCTCTGTTTACATTTGTCGATGAGAACATTTTCAAAAAGGAGACATTTTTAGGTAAGAGGTCAAGGTGGAGGGAAATATTTGCAGGAACTTTGTCAGTGGCGTGCATTAATCCGTTTGCATCTATGTTTTGTAACATGTCTTTGTGTTTTTTTTTGGGGGGGGGATGTATTTCTTGTGTGTCACTAACACCTAAACAGCTGTTC